AAAAACAGACTTCAATGAGAAGCTGCAGAACTGGAATTAATTTGCAAACTGGACACCATCAAATTAGGCCTGAATAAAGACTGAGAGTGGATGGGTCACTGCAAAAAGTAATTTTCCCTCTGCTGATACTCACACCTTCTTGTCAACGGTTGGAAATGGGCGACATCCACCTTGATTGCATTGGCCTCGTTAGCACTACAAAAGCAATCAACTGTTGAGAATAGGCCACTTCCATCTTAATTGAATTGGCCTCGTTATCACTGACCCCCCACACTTGGTAAGGAAACTCCCATCTTTTCATGTGCTGTAATATATATACTGTTTACTGTATTTTTCACTCCATGCATCTGATGAAGTGGGTTTTAGCCCACGAAAGCTTATGCCTAAATAAATTTGTTAGTCTCAAAGGTGCCACAAGGACTCCTCGTTTTTTCTGATACAGACTAACATGGCTACCACTCTGAAATTAGTAAACTTGATTATTTTGGAGCCAAATGTACACTTGTGATTTCTTCAAACTGTTGTTGTAAAAAGGGCAGAATAATGCACAATAGCAGGAAAAGAACCTCTTTCAGAGCATCAGAGTGCTTCATGTGCTAGAGGAAGGCCACCATAAAGAACCCTTAACACTTGGCCCTGAACCTTGCTTATTTTTCATTTCCCCTATATTCTGCATCTTTCTTTCTTCTGGCACTTAAGAAGCCTGCTGTACATCTAAGCAAATGCTAATGTCCTGGGGATCTGTCCTTCAGATTATTGACCAGGATTTTGCAACACTGGAAGGAGAAACCATGCCCAGGAATCATTCCAGAATTTTCCCTGAACCCACTGTCTGCTGGGACAGGACTTTGGGAATTTGTTCAGTTAATACTCATTACTCATGCAGAGCAGACACAATAAATACAACTCATAGTTTATAGGCCTCACTATGAAGGCCCAGGTCCTCAAAAGTATTTAGATGCCTAAACTCTTATGGGAGTTAGGCATCTAAATATCTTTGAGGATCTAGGCCTCAGTACCTTGATTTAAAGAGCTCCCCAGTAAATGAGAACTAACCAGTGTTAGCTACAGATGTGGCAATACCTGTACAAGTGACATACTCAAAGTTGTCGGATGAGATTGCTTGAACTTAACCACTTTTTTGAAAAAGAGATGGCATCTTGTGTAGTATAATAGCCATTTCCAATGATGAGAGGAAGATTTTCAGGTAAAATTTTTAAAAGTGCTAATGTTACTTAGGAATGTAAGGACCAGATTTTTAAAGGGATTTAGGTGATGCTCTTCTCGGTATGTCTACACTACGAAATTAGGTCGAATTTATAGAAGTCGGTTTTTTAGAAATCGGTTTTATATATTCGAGTGTGTGTGTCCCCACAGAAAATGCTCTAAATGCATTAAGTGCATTAACTCGGCGGAGCGCTTCCACAGTACCGAGGCAAGCGTCGACTTCCGGAGCGTTGCACTGTGGGTAGCTATCCCACAGTTCCCGCAGTCTCCGCTGCCCATTGGAATTCTGGGTTGAGATCCCAATGCCTGATGGGGCTAAAACATTGTCGCGGGTGGTTCTGGGTACATATCGTCAGCCCCCCGTTCCCTCCCTCCCCCCGTGAAAGCAAGGGCAGACAATCATTTCGCGCCTTTTTTCCTGAGTTACCTGTGCAGACGCCATACCATGGCAAGCATGGAGCCCGCTCAGGTAACCGTCACCCTATGTCTCCTGAGTGCTGGCAGACGCGGTATGGCATTGCTACACAGTAGCAGCAACCCCTTGCCTTGTGGCAGCAGACGGTACAGTACGACTGGTAGCCGTCATCGTCATGTCTGAGGTGCTCCTGGTCGCCTCTGTGAGGTCGATCAGGAGCGCCTGAGCAGACATGGGCACAGGGACTAAATTTGGAGTGACTTGACCAGGTCATTCTCTTTAGTCCTGCAGTCAGTCCTATTGAACCGTCTTATGGTGAGCGGGCAGGCGATACGGACTGCTAGCAGTCGTACTGTACCATCTTCTGCCGAGCAGCCATGAGATGTGGATGGCATGCAGTCCTTCTGCACCGTCTGCTGCCAGCCAAAGATGTAAAAGATAGATGGAGTGGATCAAAACAAGAAATAGACCAGATTTGTTTTGTACTCATTTGCTTCCCCCCTCCCCTGTCTAGGGGACTCATTCTTCTAGATCACACTGCAGTCACTTACAGAGAAGGTGCAGCGAGGTAAATCTAGCCATGTATCAATCAGAGGCCAGGCTAACCTTCTTGTTCCAATAAGGACAATAACTTAGGTGCACCATTTCTTATTGGAACCCTCCGTGAAGTCCTGCCTGAAATACTCCTTGATGTAAAGCCACCCCCTTTGTTGATTTTAGCTCCCTGAAGCCAACCCTGTAAGCGCCCCTCCCAGCGTCAGAGCAATGGCAAACAATCGGGCATCTGAGAGTGCTGTCCAGAGCAGTCACAATGGAGCACTCTGATGGAGCTAAAACATTGTCGCGGGTGGTTCTGGGTACGTGTCGTCAGGCCCCCGTTCCCTCCCTCCCTCCGTGAAAGCAAGGGCAGACAATCATTTCGCGCCTTTTTTCCTGAGTTACCTGTGCAGACGCCATACCACAGCAAGCATGGAGCCCGCTCAGGTAACCGTCACCCTATGTCTCCTGGGTGCTGGCAGACGCGGTACGGCTTTGCTGCACAGTAGCAGTAACCCATTGCCTTCTGGCAGCAGACGGTGCAATACGATTGGTAGTCGTCCTCGTCGTGTCCGAGGTGCTCCTGGCCACGTCGGCTGGGAGTGCCTGGGCAGACATGGGCGCAGGGACTAAATTTGGAGTGACTTGACCAGGTCATTCTCTTTAGTCCTGCAGTCAGTCCTATTGAACCGTCTTATGGTGAGCGGGCAGGCGATACGGACTGCTAGCAGTCGTACTGTACCATCTTCTGCCAGGCAGGCAAGAGATGAGGATTGCTAGCAGTCGTATTGCACCATCTTCTGCCAGGCAGGCAAGAGATGGGGATGGCTAGCAGTCGTACTGTACCATCTTCTGCCGAGCAGCCATGAGATGTGGATGGCATGCAGTCCTTCTGCACCGTCTGCTGCCAGCCAAAGATGTAAAAGATAGATGGAGTGGGTCAAAACAAGAAATAGACCAGATTTGTTTTGTACTCATTTGCCTCCTCCCCTGTCTAGGGGACTCATTCCTCTAGGTCACACTGCAGTCACTCACAGAGAAGGTGCAGCGAGGTAAATCTAGCCATGTATCAATCAGAGGCCAGGCTAACCTCCTTGTTCCAATAAGAACGATAACTTAGGTGCACCATTTCTTATTGGAACCATCCGTGCAGTCCTGCCTGAAATACTCCTTGATGTACAGGCACCCCCTTTGTTGATTTTAGCTCCCTGAAGCCAACCCTGTAAGCCGTGTCGTCAGTCGCCCCTCCCTCCGTCAGAGCAACGGCAGACAATCGTTCCGCGCCTTTTTTTCTGTGCGGACGCCATACCAAGGCAAGCATGGAGGCCGCTCAGCTCACTTTGGCAATTAGGAGCACATTAAACACCACACGCATTATCCAGCAGTATATGCAGCACCAGAACATGGCAATGCGATACCGGGCGAGGAGGCGACGTCAGCGCGGTCCCGTGAGTGATCAGGACATGGACACAGATTTCTCTGAAAGCATGGGCCCTGACAATGCATGCATCATGGTGCTAATGGGGCAGGTTCATGCTGTGGAACGCCGATTCTGGGCTCGGGAAACAAGCACAGACTGGTGGGACCGCATAGTGTTGCAGGTCTGGGACGATTCCCAGTGGCTACGAAACTTTCGCATGCGTAAGGGCACTTTCATGGAACTTTGTGACTTGCTTTCCCCTGCCCTGAAGCGCATGAATACCAAGATGAGAGCAGCCCTCACAGTTGAGAAGCGAGTGGCGATAGCCCTGTGGAAGCTTGCAACGCCATCAGCTACCGGTCAGTTGGGAATCAATTTGGAGTGGGCAAATCTACTGTGGGGGCTGCTGTGATGCAAGTAGCCCACGCAATCAAAGATCTGCTGATATCAAGGGTAGTGACCCTGGGAAATGTGCAGGTCATAGTGGATGGCTTTGCTGCAATGGGATTCCCTAACTGTGGTGGGGCTATAGACGGAACCCATATCCCTATCTTGGCACCGGAGCACCAAGCCGCCGAGTACATAAACCGCAAGGGGTACTTTTCGATAGTGCTGCAAGCTCTGGTGGATCACAAGGGACGTTTCACCAACATCAACGTGAGATGGCCGGGAAAGGTGCATGATGCTCGCATCTTCAGGAACTCTGGTCTGTTTCAAAAGCTGCAGGAAGGGACTTTATTCCCAGACCAGAAAATAACTGTTGGGGATGTTGAAATGCCTATATGTATCCTTGGGGACCCAGCCTACCCCTTAATGCCATGGCTCATGAAGCTGTACACAGGCAGCCTGGACAGTGGTCAGGAGCTGTTCAACTACAGGCTGAGCAAGTGCAGAATGGTGGTAGAATGTGCATTTGGACGTTTAAAGGCGCGCTGGCGCAGTTTACTGACTCGCTTAGACCTCAGCGAAACCAATATTCCCACTGTTATTACTGCTTGCTGTGTGCTCCACAATATCTGTGAGAGTAAGGGGGAGACGTTTATGGCGGGGTGGGAGGTTGAGGCAAATCGCCTGGCTGCTGGTTACGCGCAGCCAGACACCAGGGCTGTTAGAAGAGCACAGGAGGGTGCGGTACGCATCAGAGAAGCTTTGAAAAACAGTTTCATGACTGGCCAGGCTACGGTGTGAAAGTTCTGTTTGTTTCTCCTTGATGAAACCCCCCGCCCCTTGGTTCACTCTACTTCCCTGTAAGCTAACCACCCTCCCCTCCTCCCTTTAATCATTGCTTGCAGAGCCAATAAAGTCATTGTTGCTTCACATTCATGCATTCGTTATTCATTCATCACACAAATAGGGGGATGACTACCAAGGTATCCCAGGAGGGGTGGTGGAGGAGGGAAGGAAAATGCCACACAGCACTTTAAGCACAGCACTTTAAAAGTTTACAACTTTAAAATTTATTGAATGACAGCCTTCTTTTTTTTTGGGCAATCCTCTGTGGTGGAGTGGCTGGTTGGCCGGAGGCCCCCCCACCGCGTTCTTGGGCGTCTGGGTGTGGAGGCTATGGAACTTGGGGAGGAGGGCGGTTGGTTACAGAGGGGCTGCAGTGGCAGTCTGTGCTCCAGCTGCCTTTGCTGCAGCTCAACCATACACTGGAGCATACTGGTTTGGTCCTGCAGCAGCCTCAGCATTGAATCCTGCCTCCTCTCATCACGCTGCCGCCACATTTGAGCTTCAGCCCTGTCTTCAGCCCGCCACTTACTCTCTTCAGCCCTCCACCTCTCCTCCCGGTCATTTTGTGCTTTCCTGCACTCTGACATTATTTGCCTCCACGCATTCGTCTGTGCTCTGTCAGTGTGGGAGGACAGCATGAGCTCGGAGAACATTTCATCGCGAGTGCGTTTTTTTTTTCTTTCTAAGCTTCACTAGCCTCTGGGAAGGAGAAGATCCTGTGATCATTGAAACACATGCAGCTGGTGGAGAAAAAAAAAAGGGACAGCGGTATTTAAAAAGACACATTTTATAAAACAGTCGCTACACTCTTTCAGGGTAAACCTTGCTGTTAACATTACATACATAGCACATGTGCTTTCGTTACAAGGTCGCATTTTGCCTCCTCCCACCGCGTGAACGGATTTTGGTTGAATGCCAGCAAACATACACTGCAATGCTTTGTTCTACAGTGATTCCCGAGTACGTGTTACTGGCCTGGAGTGGTAAAGTGTCCTACCATGAAGGACGAAATAAGGCTGCCCTCCCCAGAAACCTTTTGCAAAGGCAGAACCGCAAATGCCAGGGCAAAGTAATCCTTTCACATGCTTGCTTTTAAACCATGTATAGCATTTTAAAAGGTACACTCACCAGAGGTCCCTTCTCCGCCTGCTGAGTCCAGGAGGCAGCCTTGGGTGGGTTCGGGGGGTACTGGCTCCAGGTCTAGGGTGAGAAACAGTTCCTGGCTGTCGGGAAAACCGGTTTCTCCGCTTGCTTGCTGTGAGCTATCTACAACCTCCTCATCATCATCTTCTTCGTCCCCAAAACCTACTTCCGTATTGCCTCCATCTCCATTGAAGGAGTCAAACAACACGGCTGGGGTAGTGGTGGCTGAACCCCCTAAAATGGCATGCAGCTCATCATAGAAGCGGCATGTTTGGGGCTCTGACCCAGAGCGGCTGTTCGCCTCTCTGGTTTTCTGGTAGGCTTGCCTCAGCTCCTTCAGTTTCACGCGGCACTGCTTCGGGTCCCTGTTATGGCCTCTGTCCTTCATGCCCTGGGAGATTTTGACAAAGGTTTTGGCATTTCGAAAACTGGAACGGAGTTCTGATAGCACGGATTCCTCTCCCCAAACAGCGATCAGAACCCGTACCTCCCGTTCGGTCCATGCTGGAGCTCTTTTGCGATTCTGGGACTCCATCATGGTCACCTGTGCTGATGAGCTCTGCATGGTCACCTGCAGCTTGCCACGCTGGCCAAACAGGAAATGAGATTCAAAAGTTCGCGGTTCTTTTCCTGTCTACCTGGCCAGTGCATCTGAGTTGAGAGTGCTGTCCAGAGCGGTCATAATGGAGCACTCTGGGATAGCTCCCGGAGGCCAATACCATCGAATTGTGTCCACAGTACCCCAAATTCGAGCCGGCAACGTCGATTTAAGCGCTAATCCACTTGTCAGGGGTGGAGTAAGGAAATCGATTTTAAGAGCCCTTTAAGTCGAAATAAAGGGCTTCATTGTGTGGACGGGTGCAGGTTTACATCAATTTAACGCTGCTAAATTCGACCTAAAGTCCTAGTGTAGACCAGGGCTCAGCGTTGCCAGGCCTACATGACTTAGGCTGCTAAGTCCCATTTTCAAAAGTGACTTAGGCACTCAGGAGCCTAAGTCTCATTGGAAGTCAGTAGGACTAAGCCCTGTTCTACACTAGGAGTTGAGGTCGAATTTAGCAGCGTTCAATTGATTTAACCCTGCACCCGTCCACAAGCCCTGTTCTACACTAGGAGTTGAGGTCGAATTTAGCAGCGTTAAATTGATTTAACCCTGCACCCGTCCATACGACGAAGCCCTTTTTTTTTTACTTAAAGGGCTCTTAAAATTGATTTCCTTACTCCACCCCCAACAAGGGGATTAGCGCTGAAATCGGCCTTGTTGGGTCGAATTTGGGGTACTGTGGACACAATTAGACGGTATTGGCCTCCGTGAGCTATCCCAGAGTGCTCCATTGTGACCACTCTGGACAGCACTCTCAACTCAGATGCACTGGCCACGTAGACAGGAAAAGGCCCCTTGAACTTTTGAATTTCAATTTTCTGTCTGGCCAGCGTGGCAAGCTGCAGGTGACCATGCAGAGCTCATCAGCAGAGGTGACCATGATGGAGTCCCAAAACTGCAAAAGAGCTCCAGCATGGACTGAACGGGAGGTACGGGATCTGATCACTGTATGGGGAGAGGAATCCGTGCTATCAGAACTATGTTCCAGTTTTCAAAATGCCAAAACATTTGTCAAAATCTCCCAGGGCATGAAGGACAGAGGTCATAACAGGGACCCGAAGCAGTGCCACATGAAACTTAAGGAGCTGAGGCAAGCCTACCAGAAAACCAGAGAGGCGAACGGAAGCTCCGGGTCAGAGCCCCAAACATGTTGCTTCTATGATGAGCTGCATGCCATTTTAGGGGGTTCAGCCACCACTACTCCAGCCGTGTTGTTTGACTCCTTCAATGGAGATGGAAGCAACACGGAAGCAGGTTTTGGGGATGAGGAAGATGATGATGATGAGGTTGTAGATAGCTCACAGCAAGCAAGCGGAGAAACCGGTTTTCCTGACAGCCAGGAACTGTTTCTCACTCTGGACCTGGAGCCAGTACCCCCCGAACCCACCCAAGGCTGCCTCCCGGACCCGCCAGGCAGAGAAGGGACCTCTGATGAGTGTACCTTTTAAAATACTATACATGGTTTAAAAGCAAGCATGTTTAATGATTAAAGGGGGGCCTGACGATATGTACCCAGAACCACCCGCGGCAATGATTTAGCCCCATCAGGCACTGGGATTTCTACCCAGAATTCAAATGGGCAGGGGAGACTGTGGAAACTGTGGGATAGCTACCCACAGTGCAATGCTCCGGAAGTCGACGGTTGCCTCGGTACTGTGGACACACTCCGCCGACTACATGCACTGAGAGCATTTGTGTGGGGACACACACAATCAACTGTATAAAAACGCTTTCTACAAAACCGACTTCTATAAATTCAACCTAATTTTGTAGTGTAGACATACCTACTCCTAAGTGCGTATGTCACTTTTTAAAATGGAACTTAAGTTCTTAAATTGCATATGCAGTTTTTGAAAATTGTCTCCTTATCCTTTTTCTTTTTTATTTAAAATATATGTTTTTTAAATTGACCAATGCTGTAAGAGCTCCCTTGTCTGTATCTTTCTGACATTGTTAAGCTTTTTCACTCACTGTTTAGGTCCACCAAGACTGCTCATTTATGGTTCAGAGTCCTTGGTATCACTCAAATAGCTCATGAGACTATTTCCTACCCTTGCAGTAGAACAGACTCAGTGATCATACCGGTTTTGTCCCACTGCAACCAGTATAATCCTGTGATCTTATTGTCATAATTCATTGACAACATCTTTGGTTATAGCTGAAAGTCATGAGAAAAGCCCAATGAACATATTCTATTAGTCATGAAATGTGATCACTGAAGTATCATTAGGGGCTATCCATCTAGTTAACACTGGTAAGAGCTTTCATTTACAAGCTCTGGACTTGCTGAAATAAGGGGAAATCCCTGTAATCAAGTCTTGGAAATCTACAAATCATTCATTGTGACTGGAAGTTACTGTAAGTGCCAAATTCTGCCCTGATTTACACCCCTTGCATCCATATTGATGTGGAGAGGGCTTCATGGGTTGTAGGTCAGGGCATAAGTTGGCTCTTATTCTGTAGCTCTTATTCTTATTCTGTGGTCAGAAGAAAACATGGTATCAAGTTCTGCCCTTAATTACGCATGTAAAACCCCACTTAAGTCAATGTGATTGCATTGGTGTAACTGAGAATTGGACCATGAGTCTAAATCACAATGAAGCTGCAGAGAGTGAATTATAAATAACATTTAAAACATGACTGGTGGGGTTTGGTCATAGGTACCCAACATTATACCAGTGGAAGTGTGGCATACATATAAAACTATATGCATTTCAATGAGCATTGCTGCCAGTTATGCCATAACAGAGCATTAGGTTTACTCACCCCTGAGTAGTCATCCCTGGAGGATGAGAACTGAGATCAGCCCAGTTTCTCCTATGGGGATTTCTGACTGGCAAGTGGGGCCCCAGTTGACTGGATGAGGAAAGCAGAACTCTAGGTGTCTCTCCTCACTCCAGGTGAACTGCACAGCTGTCACTTCAACTGCCATGGAACATTCAGGCCCCAGCATTCCAGCCAGAAAATCTTCAAATCCCCATCCAACTGCCACAGAACCTTCAGGCCCCAGTGTTCCATCTGACATGACACCTCCCCATTTCACCCCTGTCTTTAGAACTCTTTGAGTGGTTTTTAAGCAGCAGGGCAGAGGGAAATAATGTTATCCACATTATCCCCTTTTTTCTTTTTGGCCTTTTATCTCTTTCCCTTGCTCTCCCTAGCTCCTGCTTCCTCATTATGGCCATAAATAAGGGAGAAAGGGAATATGACTAGTTCCACAGCGATCTCTTCTATTCTGACAGACGTACATGAGTAATAAAAATATATGTAGTTTATACACTTATGTTATAGGGGTGGAATACATTTTTCAGATTGGTTTCATGTGAGCTCATATATTGATTCATATATGAACTATTATGAAAGTGTCCCTTTACAGTTATTACTGTCTAGAGTCATATGTATCATATATGAAACATATGACATATCTATGTAGATTAAAGACAACTCTGTTAACTTCATTAAGCAAAAATTCACATGACTTTCATTGCAACCTTTAGAACCTTATACTGTTAGCTCTGTAAAGGTCAACGTTACAGAACTATTACGTAGTTGATGAAAAATGTCTTCTCTGTGTTTTGGAAAATACTTCTGTGTCATTCCATTAGTTCTCATTATATCATGATTAAAAACGTGACTTCAAGGAGCACAGCCCAAAGCAAGGTATCCTGAGTTATAGTGTCATCTAGTGGCAACTGCTATGTAAGTGCTTGAGCCTGACAAAAAAGTGAAAGTGTTTCAATTCAAGTCTAGGGTTTTGAAATTACCATAAAAGAATCTGATTTTTACCTAAGTACCTATTCCTGATGAATCAGAGCAAAACACACACACAAAGGCCCCAGTCCCACAATCTGATCAGTCTGAACCTTGTATCAGCACAGAGTCTCATTGAAAGTCCATGGCAGTCAAAGTGCAGGAGTGGTGACAAAGTTATTAAATTGTTGTCAGACAAAAATAGAAAACTCTTAAATGCTTTTCCAATTTACTTGATTTGGCTTATAACTTTTGGAAACACTTTTGAGTTACAAAAAGTTAATTTTTACAAGATTGTCAAGCCTGTTAAAAGCAGCCAAGACCAATACTGGCTGAGCAGTTAGTCTGGGTGACTGTTTAGTGTTGTTTTACAGTTAAAGGGCCAAATTCTGCTCTGATTTACCTCTCATGAAACAATATCCCATACTGACAAAAGTTCTAGGATCCCCCATGAATGGTGCAAGGCTTGCAAGGATAAATTATTCAAGGTTTAATGCAAGAAATATGCAAGGATCATGACTCGCATATTACATTCATGATCCTTGCCTCTTCGCTTCCTGTACATTAAGTACTTGGACTTTGCTGTATGAAGTTGATGTCAGTGGAAATGTACAGGATGTAAAATCAGTGGAGAATTTGTTCCAAAGAATTGTGCTATTGTTTGGGGGAGGGTAGTACTTAGTTATTAAGGGAGAAGGCTGCTGTGAGCAAAGTGCATTAGGGAGTTTCTGTTTCAGTTCCGCTCTGTGCTGCCTGCCATCCACCAAGCAAGTGTCTGGTTGCAGCTTTTGAACAGTTCACAAGAGCTCATCTAAGGACTGTTTGGTAAAAAGTGTGTGGTTGAAATACCACATTTCATAGAAGGAGATGCTGAACGGAAACTCCGCATTTGGACTGTTGTCTGCTGTGTTTCTTATTCACCACAGAAGGAATGGTAAAATACCTCCACAGCTTTACATGATTCATGAAATGCTACTCTCAGATAAATGCCTACAGCTCTTGTTGAAGTCAGTGGGAGACCCATGCACATATGTGTATTAAAGACTCTCAGAGTCACAGTTATTAGTATATATT